TGAGGCAGGAGCTGCAGAGCTGCTGGCCATGCATTCGGTGTTGACAAATCCACAAAATAGCATGTTCAGAAAAAGGAGAAGGAAATTGACCGATTCATACATGAGGCTGTGATGGAAAGGGCTAAAGTAACACCTCTTGTGTGGGATGGAGCTGTGGAAGTGTCTTTCAACAGAAACCCACACATAAAAGAAGGTTGATGAAAATGTTGTGGCCAGAGGTTTGCAAGAGCCTAACCCGGTATTTCCTCTTTGAGTGATGACTCTGTATTCTCTAATTCAGCACTCATGGGAGCTTTATCGGAAGCAACTGCCGGGACTACCAAAAATCAACTGTGGATAGAGAGAGGGAAATGCATGCGCTTCAAATTGAAATATATAGGCATGTAATTTTATATAGATAATACATATATTTCAATCTGAGTGAAGATTTCTTCCTCTCCTCATCACCTGACCAGTGTTAGCCTCTGCCTGAAGTTCTACCCCTGAGTCACAGAGACCTACCCCCTTAAGTTAGGACCCTGAGCACGTGCAGCCATGGCCCATAGTCACGCCGGTGTGTGGTACCGGTCTCACCCTCGGACAGGCAGAGTTGGGGACATGGGTGTGACCAGGGACGGAATCACAGGCACTGCATTGCTCTCTCCCAGAGTCACCCTTTATTGACCACCGTGATTGATGGGCTGCTGCTGCCGAAAACACCTGAAGAGCTTCAAGCTGAAAGGAAGTTCCACACTGTCCCCTACATGGTCGGAATTAACAAGCAAGAATTTGGCTGGAATCTTCCAATGGTGAGAAGGCGCAGGCCTCTTGGAGGGACTCACCCACCCCCATCAGCTCTCCTGTCTCTGGTCCCAGGAGTGCTTCCCTCTCTGAGCCCCACTCTGAGTCCCGGGCAGCTGTTCCCTTCAGAAGGTGTTGCCATTTCCACGGAAACCTTCTCCAGGAGGGCACAGGGGCCACCTGGGTTTCAGAGCCCTGGGATTCCCTCTTCCTATATTCTCTGATTGTCTTCCTTGAAGAATCCTGAAGTGTCTGTTCTGGGAGGGCCAGTAGAGAAAGTAATTGTGCAGATGGGAAAACTGAGGGGGCTTAGGAGGAGAAAGGAGTTGAGGAGTACAGAGAGGCAGTCAGTCAGGGGCTTC